GTCAGCAATGCAGTGGTGTCCCAATTTTTCCCCATCTCCTCTAGCATTTGCTGTTTTCCTTTTTTGTCACATTAGCCAATCTGATATGTGTGAGGTGGTATCTCAGAGTTGTTTTAATTTGCGTTTCTTTAATCAATAATTATTTGTGTGTGACTTTTTTCATGTGATAATTGACAGTTTTGATTTCTTCTTTTGAAGATTACCCGTTCGTATCCCTTGACCATTTTCCACTCAAAGAATGGCTTGTATTTTTATAAATTTGGCTCAGTTCCCTATATATTTGAGAAGTGAGGCCTTTATCAGAGTAACTTGCTATAAATCCCCCCCCCAGTTTCTTGTTTTCCTCCTAATTCTGGCTACACTAGTTTTATTTGTGCAAAATCTTTTAAATTTCATGTAATCAAAATTATCCATTTTTCTTCCCATGATCCTCTCTGTTTTTTGTTTGGTCATAAATTCTCCCTTATTCATAGATCTGACGGGGACATTTTCCCATGCTCCTGTAATGCATTTATGATAGTACCCTTTGTGTTTAAGTCATGTACCCATTTTGACCTTAACTTGGTATACAGTGTGAGATGGTGGTCTATACCTAGTTTCTGCCAAACTGCTTTCCAGTTTCCCCAGGAATTTTTGTCAAGTGGTGAGTTCTTACCCCCACAGCTTGGATCTTTGGGTTTGTCAAACACTAGATTAGTATGGTCATTTGCTCCTGTGTAAATACTATGGTATTTGCTATTCCACTGATCCAACCCTCTATTTCTTAGCCAGTACCAGATTGTTTTCATGATTACTGCTTTGTAATACAGTTTAAGGTCTGGTATGGCAAAGCTGCCTTCACATTTTTTTTTATTGATTATATTTATATTCTCGGCCTTCTGTTCTTCTAAATGCAGTTTGTACAATGTTCTTTCAATATAGGTCAACAGTCACAGTGTACCCCAAAAATTTCCTAGGTGCTCCGTGTATAAGATATTGGGTGCCAGATGCTAGGAATGGTATGAGCATGTGATTTCACCAGTGAAGGAAATTCCTTCCACTAATGCAAAGCGACAATTCCTCTGTAACTAATAGTCTTAGAGAATTGAGTAGGAGGCACTGAGATATTACGTGACTTGCCCAGCCATTAGGATGTCAGAAGCAGGATTTGAACCTACGTTTTCCTGACTTGAACACCAGCTCTATTGATTCTCTCAAGTGTTAGAAGTTGCCTCAAGAATAAAAGTCTCTGTCTTCAAGGAGTTTACCTCACAGACTCTCCTGTGGGGTGGGGGTGGGGGAATGAAACATGTACACAGATGTAAAGACCTGAGGTTTGAGGAGAGAGAGGGAAATAACGACTGCTCCCACATAACACTGAGGGATTGAGGTTTGTAGTATGGTTGCTCATGAGCCTCCATTAGTGTGCTACCCAGTATCATTCAACTAGTCACACTCCATTACTCAGAGGTGTCCGGTGCTCTTGGACATACGGGGCCGAGGTGAGGGACGTCGGACATTAGCCCTTCCCTGCCTGGCAGCTCAAAAGAACCTCCCTGGTTGAAAACTTCCCAGGCGAGAGCCTAAGAGATGGGGGGGTTGCACCTTTGGTATGCACCCTCAATTCGAACTCCTGAGTCATCAGTCCTTTGTGCATTCATCCAATTGGAAGCTTTTTCATCCACCCAGACCATGAACCTCTTAGTCATTGTATCTGGAAACGACCTCCTTCGAGTAGGTAAAGAATGTCTGTGTATCTTCCGAGGAATGAAATGAGGCGTCAGGGAGAGTCTGCCCTCATTAGGACCATGAAAGAGGAGGTGGAGAAGGGAGCACATTCTAGGCACTGGGGGAGGCTTAAAGGTATTGGGAAGAGTCCCTGCTAAGGACCCTGGAGAGTCACTGGGAACCGGGCCTCAGGCGCCTGGCTCAAGGCAAGCACACAGCACAGACCCTGCCTCTGACCTCCTCAGCCTCCTTCCCAGCAGCAAGGACAGCAAACAGGCCCCAAGGACGGAAGCCAGGGGTCATCTTTGACTCTTCACCCTCCCCTCCCCCCCAATCTGCTGCCAAGTCTCCTCCACTCTATCTCTGCTCACCCCCAACACCCTTGTGCAGGCTCTCATCACCTGCTGCCAGGGCTGGCAAGAGCCTCCTGCTGGGGCTTCCTACCCAAGACGCTCAGCTCCAAGCAGGTGCTGAAGCGGGCTTCTTAGCTTCTTAGCGGGCCTCCTTCTTCCCCTACTCAAAAAGGTTCTGGGGTTCCCGATTGCCCCTCGAATAACATACAAATGAATCTGTTCCCCATTTAAAGTTCTGTACAGTCTTGGATGTAATCTACTTTTCCAGATGGGTCGCACCTTGACCCTCCCATCCCCACTTATACACACAAATATATACATGTACATATATGTGTATGCATGTGTGTTTATGTAAATGTGCCTATATATGTATGAATGTGTGTATGTATACTATGTGTATATGTGTATGAAAATATCAGTATGCATGTGTGTATCTGTGTGTGTGTGTGTGTGTGTGTGTGTGTGTGTGTGTGTGTGTAATATTTTCTCCGATCCAGGCAGAATGGCCTCATGCTTTTAATACCCTCCCTTTCCCGCCTCTGGGCCGTCCCCTAGGTCTGCAGCCATCTCCCTCTTCCCCTCTGACTCTTTCACCCCCTCACAGCTCAGGTGCCATCTCCTACATGAGACCTTTTCTGATTTCCCTCCCACCCAGCTATGAGCACCCTACGCTCCCACGCCCAGCCCCTCACCCCCAAGTGACTTTTTGTTGACTCTGGTAATGTTTTACACAAAGGTGTTAGGTGGCACAGTGAATAGAGCACTGGGCCTGGGGTCAAGAAGACCTGGATTCAAATCTGACCTCAGACACATCCTAGCTGTGTGACCCTGAGAAAGTCACTTCACCCTGTTTGCCTCTGTTTCCTTATCTGTAAATGAGCTGGGGAAGGAAATGGCAAACCACTCCAGTATCTCTGCCAAGAAAACCCCAAGAGAATCACATGCAACTGAAGGACAACAAAAAAAATATGTTTTGTGTGGATTGTTCTGTGGACTAGTTTTCCCCAAAATAAACTCATTGAAGGCAGGCATCATATACATACATACATACATACATACATACATACATACATACATATACATGTAGATAAATAGATACATAGATGGATAGATAGATACACACACACACACATTTGTCTTTGTATCTGTAGCATTTAATGCACAAAAGGAGCTCAATGAGAGCTTATGAAGTGGGATAGAATCGAATTGAAGTGCCCCCTGCCTTCTGCTCTCTTCTTTGGTTTGAGGCTCTAATAAATCAGTCCCAGATCTGACCTGGGCTCCTACACAAATCGGCCCATTTCCTTCCATGGGCCTGGGCCTGGGAGGGATTTTGGCTGAAACCAAGGCAGTAGCCTGTTGCATCGAAACACAGATGAGGAAGAGGGCATTCTGGAGTGGTCCAGCATGTTCTCCTTGGGTTCTAGACCAAGGGACTGCCAGCCCCCCGGGAGCAGAGGCTGTGTGGATTTTCTGTGAATGGGAGCCTCCCCCTCTTTCCCCACTGCAGTGCCCCCCACACCCAGCCTCACCAAAGTCGTTTTGAAATCTGAAGAAACAGAGCAGTTCAGGGTCAAATGTTTCAGGCTGCCCTCAATAACAGGGGCCCCTCTGCAAGCCTTTTCCTTCTGTTCTGGGCTGAGGATAAAGAGGAGGAAATGCCCATTATGGTGTGACCTTGTGTCACTGAGGCTGACAGGCCTCATATTTAAGGCTCAACGAGGTGTTTATTTTTAGCCTGAGTCGGGTGCAGAATTCGGGGGGGCAGCAGGAGGGGTCAGGCTGCTGGGAAGCCCCCGTCTCCTGTGTACAGCTCATCCTGGCCTGTTTACATTTCTGCTCTCTAGGTTGGATAACTTCCTTCTGGTTTGATGTAGCCCCACCAGCCCGATTCCATTATCCTGTGTGGTCACCCTCTTGGGGTGCACATGGGGGGCTTTCAGATCCTTCAGCCCAGAGATCATTTCCTTAAGGATGCAGCCTGCCTGAAAAAACAGAGGAAAAAGGAGGTGGGGGTGGGGGTGTACCATGTGGCCTCAACTGTGAGGATAAATATTATCTACTGAAAAGTTCATAATAATTCTGCATGTGCTTGTACAGCTCCACTTTAGAATCCTTTCTTCTCACCCACTCTTTTTCTTCAACATTTTAGGAGTCTGTGATTTTATACAAGTGGAAGATCTTGAGCTATGTTTGTCATGAATTGTTGTGGCTGACAAGATTGATCCCCTGGTAGCCAGGACTCTGGTGATGAGAACCTCTCTCTTGGTTACTAAAATATGGAATATTTTAAAATATTTTAACCATTTAAAAATACGGAATAGATGAGGAATGAGAACAAAAATAAAAATGGCAGCCATCAGAGACTAATTTGGGGAAGGGGGAAGGGGCGGTAAAATCAGCTTAATTCATGCAGCCCGGGGGAAAATACCAGAATATGCTCTATTTATGCATATAGTTTCAAAAATAAAGTCTCATTTTACAAATCCTTTGTGGTGGTGTTTTCAAGACAGAAATGTCCTACCATGAACAAATGAGACCATTTTGTCTGCCGAGTGAGGAAGTAAGTGAGTGTCTTTCATCACGAATGATAAAGGTAGACAATTTAAAGAATGCCGTTTTCTAAAGTGGGGCATAAAATCCTTTCAGGAAGAGATTCTGCTGATCCTCCCAGTTGTTACAGAAGAGGAGGGCTCCATTTTCTCAAGTAATCACAGCTTCAATGATGGGACTGTTTCAGGACTTGGCTAAAACAATAGCAATGTGTGCCTCTTTTCTCCCTTCTGTCCCCTCTTCCCTCCATTTTCCCCTTTTTTCTTTTAAATAACTATAGTAATTTATTTTAAGAAATTGAAAGGCCTTCTCTTCTTCTTCTTCTTCTTCTTCTTCTTTTCTTCTTCTTCTCTTCTTCTTCTTCTTCTTCTTCTCCTTCTTCTTCTTCTTCTTCATAGAATTTCGCAATTCCCTGCCCTGCAATGTTAAGGTGGGAGAGTGTCATAAGCCCCATCTTAGGGACATCTGAGAGAAACAAAGTTCTGCACTTCTGGGCCTGATGAACGATTCTCTTCAGATCATTCCCCAGGCCTGTAATGCACCTCCCCTGCCATCTTCAGCTACTGGAGTCCAATCTACCCATAAAAATCCAATTCAAATGGTGCTTCCTTCAGCAAACCTTCTGACCACCTTCCCAGCTTAAGCTGAGCTGGGTAAGTACAGCCATTGGCCTCTCCCATGAGAGTCTGGTCTGTTCAGCTTTGCACACCCAGGCCAATCCATGCCTGAGTTATAGTAGGTTCTAATGCTGGATTAAATTGGATAGTCTTTTGTCCAACCACTTATCTGTCCATTCATTCATCTGTCCATCTATCCATCCATTTATCCATCCCTCCATCCATCCCTCCATCCATCCCTCCATCCATCCATCCATCCATCCTTTACCTATTCACCATATGACATGTATTACAGACCCACTACATGGAAGACACTATGCTAGAGATACAAATGAACCCCCTTCCCAATGAATGTAATTGCAGATGGCCCAGGCACCTCGATTGAGTCAATTAAAACCATAAATGAGTCTGTAATCCATATGAGAGGATTATAATGCTTTGACCATTGGTGAAGACTAGTGATGTCCCCCAAGAAATGTCTTTGATCAGCTGAAAGAATCAGACACAGCTCTGGGCCCACACATACAAATCATGGTCAGCTCAGTGATGAACCTTCAGTCAAGCTGTGAGCCAGCCTGGTCCAGGGCAGCAGGTGAAGATGAAACCACGCCCTTCCAAGGGAATTACTGTACAGCGCGTGTTGTTTTCATTCTTGTTTAGTCACTTTTCAGTCACGTCCAATTCTTCATGACCCAGTTGGAGGTTTTCTTGGCAGAGTCACTGGAGTGGTTCACCATTTCCTTCTCCAGTTCATCTTACAGAGGAGGAAACTGAGGCAAATGGGATGAAATGACTTGCTCAGAGTTAGTTTCTGAGGCCGGATTTGAACTAAGATCTTACTGACCTCAGATCCCTTACTCTGTCTGCTGTAACAACCTAGCTTCTATTAACTTGGGGGTCAGCAGAACCCGTCTGATGGCCTCTTCCAACCTTTGAAAGCTCGCAATGTCTTAACCTGATTCATTCCATCTCCAAGTGCTTATGCATGTTCGATTAAGAAATAATCAGATTTAAAAATAGATATGTGTCCTGGGACATGTGGCAGCTGGGTGGGAGACAGCACAGTCTGCTACTTCCCACTGCAGAGCTCCCTGGAATCCCCCTTCGTCCAAAGCTGCCCTGGAAGAGAAAAGCCTAAGGCATGTTGATCAGGTCCTGCCAGCTCCGTGGTCACTCCTTGTGGCTTTCTGAAAGCTCCTTGCCACCACACAAAGCCAGCTCCTCAGTCACTTACAGCTGGGAAGAGGCTCCCCACTTCTCTGTTAACTTGGCAGCAGTCAAGGAGAAGCAGTGCCCTCTGAGGCAAGCAGAAGGTTATTGCCAAATGGGACAATGCTTCACCAGACTCATGTGGCTAATAATAATAGCTAACATTGAATGTGGCACTTGAAGGTTTGCAAAGAGCTTCACAAACATGGTCTCATTTGGTCCTCACAACACCCCTGGGAGGTAAGTGCTGTTATCATCCCCTCCTCCCCGCCCTGCTCCTTCCCCACCCCTTTATTTCCAGCAAACATCAGACAGATTGGATGGGTGGGAGACAAGACCTCAGCTGGGAGTGGCCATCACGTGAGGAAGTTGAGGGTCACTTTGTAAGCCTTAGTATGCCACGTGAATGCCAACTGTTATTATTTAACCTTTGAGGGACTCAATTTCCTCATTTGTAAAACGAAAGGGATGAACTCTGATGACCTCTAAGGTCCCTCAGAACTCTAGATCTTGGATCCTGGGTTTAGGAGGTGGAGTTGAGTGAGTGAGTAGGTGAGGAGAGGCTGGAAATGTAGGGTGGGACCAGGTTCTGAAGTTGGGGGAATAATTGGGGTAGCTACTGAACCTACCAATCCAGGAGGACTTTGAATTTTCCCTCTCCTCCCTCCAGGGCATCCTCTCTGGGACTTGGGATCTGCATTGAGATTTGCAGGATTCTGGCCTTGGGCGATTCATTTCTCTGTTACCTTTCCAGCAAAACTGAGCTATTAGTCCTCCAGGCTAATGTGGGTGCTTACTGAGATAACAGCATTATGTAAACACCTTTCATACAGAAACCTCTCCAATGCTGCCCACCACATTCCCATATTCAGCATTCACGGTGTGTGAAGTAAGAGTCATTACACTCACCTCCAGCAGGCAAAGTCTCCAGTTTGATTTGATGGACCATTCACTTCATTGAGGCTGAAGCTGGAGACCCACGGGCAAAAAGGGGGAATTGGTTTTGCTGAGATTTACTCTTCTCCTCTTAGGACATGTGACTTTGAAGCCACGGACAGGTTACCCCACTTGGTCTGGGTGAGGTACCAACAAAACCAGTCTAGCCCAAGCTTCGATGGTCCAGTCAGCCAACTGGCCTTGTTGTATTTTACCCCCCAAAGGTTATATGTCTCTGAGGCTGACCTAGTGCCCAGGGCCAGCTCAGCACAAATCCATCCCCTCCATTAGGAGGATGAGTCAGAATGTATGTATTACTGAGGGTGGATCAGAATCAACCAACCGAGTCTTAATTGCCTGTGCATTTTTATGCATAGTGTATACTTGAATACCTAGTGTGTCCTCAGCTCTCTGCAGGACCCTACAGAGGGAACAAAGATAATAATTACAATTCCTATTTCTGCAGGGCTTGGAGGTTTGCAAAATGTTTCCTCTGAGCAGCTTTGCCAGGGAGGAAGGGAAAGTATCAGGAATAGCAACAACTACAAAAAATGATACCAACAGCGACAATAACAATATTAGCGTCTACACGGTCTTCTGTGACTTAAGAACTGTGGTACATACATTACCTCATGTGAACTTCACAATAACCCTATGAGGTAGGTGCTATTATTATTCCCTTTTTAAGGATACAGAAACTGAGGCTGAGAGATGTCCAGAGTCATGCACAAGTCAGTGTCTAGGTAGTATTCCAACCTGGTATTCCACACACTCTGATATGCTGCCTCTCAGTCGCCATCCTCAGGGTCCTTAAATTCCAGACTCATACAGGGACAAGAAGAAAAAATGGGTAAATTATAAATTCATAATCTTCTACTGGGGCTTCACTACAGCAAAGCAAATTTTTTATCCTTCCCTAACTGATTTCTTGTTTCACTCCCTACAAAAACTTTTTTACACCTTTTACTTTCCTCAAGCCTGCAGTACCTCTATCTCTCCCCCTCCCCAAATCTCTTAACTAAGGATTTCACCTCTTCCTTTATCAAGAGAGTTGAGACATTTTGAGCTTCTCTTCTCCCCTTCTCAAAACCACTTGACATCCCTCCTCACCTTCTCCTCCATCCTCACCCACCCTCCTAGTGAATAAAAAAGTGACCCTTCTTCTTGCTAATACCTATATCCTTGATCCCATCCCCTCCCATAGTCATCAGCAGATTACAACCTAGCTCATCCCTCTTCTCTCTCTAATCTTCAACCTTTTCCCATCTATCAGTTCCTTCCTTACTGCCTTTCAACACATTCAAGCCTAAAACCAAGAGCAATCATTATCTGTAATGGAAATAAACTACAAGTCTTTCCAATAAGATCAGGGATGAAGCAAAGATGTCTATTATCACCATTACTCTTCAATATTGTACTAAAATGCTATCTATAGAAATAACACAAGAAAAAGACATTGAATGAATAAGAATAGACAACAAGAAAACAAAGCTATCATTTTTTGCAGATAATATAATGTACTTAGAAAACCTGAGAGAATCAACCAAAAAACTTGTCCAAACAGTTAATGATTTTAGTAAAGTTGCAGGATAGAAAACAAATCCATATAATCATAAGTATTTCTATATATTACCAATAAAACCCAACAAGAAGAAATAGAAAGAGAAATTTTATATAAAATAACTGCAGACAGTATAAAATACTTGAAAATTTACCTGCCGAGACATACAGAGGATCTATATGAACACAATTACAAAACATTTTTCATACAAATAAAGACAGATCTAAACAATTAGAGAAATATTAATTGCTCATGAGTAGGCTGAGCCAATATAATAAAAATGACAATTCTACATGTTAATTTAATTATTCCATGCCATACAAATCAAATTATCAAAAATTATTTTATAGAGCTAGAAAAATAATAACAAAATTCATTTGGAGGAATAAAAGGTACACACACACACACACACATATATTTTTATATCAAAGGAATCAGTGGGGGGGGGATGTCAAGGAAGCTAGCCCATCAGTACCAGATCTCAGACTATACTACAAAACGATAATCATCTAAACAGTCTGGTGCTGGATAAGAAACACAGTGGTCGATCAATGGAATAGGTTAAGTACACAAAATACAGAAATAAGTGAGCATAGTAATCTACTGCTTGATAAACCCAAACAGCCAAGCTATTGGGGCAAGAACTCACTATTTGACAAAAACTGCTGGGAAAACTAGAAAGTAATCTGGCAGGAACAAGGCATAGACCAGCCTCTCACATTGTATATCAAGATGAAGTCAAAGTGGATACACAATTTAAACATAAAGGGTAACATCCCAAGCAAATGAGGGGAATGTGAAAAAATTACCTGTCAGATCTATGAATGAGTGAGGGGGAAGTTCATGACCAAACAAGAGACAGAGAGGTTCATGAGAGGTAAAACAGATATTTCCATTACATTAAATTAAAAAGGTTGGTACAAATAAAACCAATGCAGCCAAAATTAGAAGAAAAGGAGGAAACTAGGTAAAAAAAAATTTACAGCAAGTTTCTCAGATAAAGGTCTCATTTCATACACACACACACACACACACACACACACACACACACACACGCACACATATATACATGTGTATGTGTATAGAGGGGGGCACCTGAGTCAAATTTATAAAAATATAAACCATTACCCAGTTGATAAATGGTCAAATATGAATAGTTTTCAGAAGAAGAAATCAAAGCTATCAATAGTCATATGTAAAAATGCTCTAACTCACTATTGATTAGAGAAATGTAAAACAAAACAACTCTGCAGTACCACCTCACACTTATCAGATTGGATAATATGACAGAAAAGGAAAATAACAAATGTTAGAGGGGATGTGGGAAAATTGGGACACTAATGCATTGTTGGTGGAATTGTGAACTGATCCAACTATTGTGGAGAACAATTTGGAACTATGCCCAAAGGGCTATAAAACTGAATAAACTCTTTGATCCAGCAATACCATTACTAGGACTGTATTCCAAAGAGGTAAAAGGAAAAGGAAAAGGACTTACCCATTCAAAAATATTTATAGCAGCTCTTTTAGTGGTGACAAAGAATTAGAAATTGAGAGAATGTCCATCAAATTGGGGAATGACTGAACAAGTTGTATATGATTGTGATGGAATACTGTGGTGCTGTAAGAAATAATGAAAGGGGTGGTTTCATAAAAACTTGGGAAGACTTATAGGAACTGATGCAAAGTGAAGTGAGCAGAACCAGGAGAACACTGTACACATTAACAGCAACATCGTAATGATGCTCAAATGTGAAAGACTAGGCCACTACGACCAATATGATGATCCAGGACAATTCCAAAGGACTCAGGATGAAAATTGCTATCGACCTCCAGAGAATGAACTGATAAGCTCTGAGTATAGATTGGAGTAGACTTTTTTCAATTTATTTTGCAAAATGGTTAATGTGGAAATACGTTTTGAACAACTTTATATGTATAATGGGTATTGTATTTTTTTGCCTTCTCAATGGGTGCGGGAGGGGCTGGAGGGAAAGAGAGAATTTAGAACTCAAAAATTTTTTAAAAAGAGAACTTTCATTTAAAAAATATGTTTAAGCCTTCCCCTTCACTAGATCCCATCATCGCTTCAAGTTAATGTCCTGTATCTCATCTCCCTTTCTCAGCCAAACCCTTTGAAAAAAACTGTCTGCACTGGCTGCTACAAGTTCCTCTTCTCTCACTTCCTCAACTCTTTCCGTTTCCAACCCAGTCTCCTGAAATCCCTCTCTCCTACCCATGCATCAGCAGATGGTGCTTTTTCCCAACGTCATTCAGTCAACAAGAATTTATTAGCAGTTACTCTGGGTACCAGGCACAGTGCTAAGTGCTGAGGATTGGACTCTGGGCTGTAACAATGACGGTAATAATAGCTAATATCTGTAAAGCGTTTTGAGGTTTGCCAACCACAGTTTGTCCTCACAATCCCAAGTTCTATCTCCAAGCCTTTGTGTCCATGCCTGGAATGTCCTTCCACACCTCCCCAGCTCTCAGAATATTTTATCTGCCTTCTAGGCTCGGCTCGGGCATCACCACATCTGTGAATCCATAATTGATTCTCCTATTCATCAGTGCTTTTGACTTCTTTTCATTGTGTTATATTCAAGCCATATCCCCATTAGAATATGAGCTTTTTGAGAGAAGGTATCGTTAAGCTTTTGACAACAACCCTGTGAGGTCAGTCCTATAGGCATTATTGGAGTGAGTGGGACACACCAGGGAAATAGCATCTCTCCTGGCTCTGTTACTTATCACTTATATTGCTTTGTTCAAAGTCCTTTACCCTTGGATCACAGGGTCATCACGGTTCCAGAGCCGGAAGGGACCTCAGAGGTCATCTAATCCAAACCATCCTTGAAGAGATGGAGAAACTGAGGCTCAGAAAATCCCACTTGTGATGGAAGCTTCCTCCCTGTGTGAGCATGGGTGAGTGAGAAGGTTGACCAGGCGACTTCTAAGACCTCGACCAGCCCCACAGCTCTGATTCCCACTTTACATCTTAGCAGACTGAAGCTCAGAGAGTTGAGGCAGCTTGTCCACGGTCACCCAAAGGTGGAGGTGACATGCCTCTTACTGAACAGACACAAGTGGTGCTCATCCCAGCACGTGCCCATGAAACAGGCTGGAAGTGGGCTAAAGGTTTTCCAGGAACGGATCTGCCTCGAGTCTTGAGAGGCCATTTCCTCTGGTCCTCGACCAGCTGTGTACTTGTTGTTTCCAGTTCTGGCCAAAGAGTCGTCACTGAGTATTGTCTTCAAGTCTGAGACTCTCTGTAATGTCTGCCACATAGACCAGAATCAATTTATCATGTACCTCCTATGGACCAAGCACCATGCTAGGCACCAGGGATACAAAGAGGAAAGTAAAATGGTCTCTGCCCCCAAAGAGCTTCCTTTCCATAGATGTAGCCAATATGTACAGATATAAAAATATACAAAAGATCCTCAAAATAAATTAAAAGCATTTTGGGGCCCTAGCAGCTGGGCTGATCAGGAAAAGGATCATGTAGAAAGTGTTGAGCTAAGTCTTGAAGGACTCTAAGGATGCTAAGAAATGGGAGACCTGGATTCAAGTCTCTGCTCCATACACTGGCTATGTGGCCTTGGACTGCTCTTTTAACCTCAGTTTTCTCACCCATCTTCCAGTGTATCTGTGATCTCATTGGTAACAGCACAACTTTCATTGATACAGGTAATAACCTATCACACTCCTGAGTTGCCATAGACAAAAACATCATTCCCCTCTATCTTTTTGGTGATAAGAGTCTCCAGACGTAGCTATCCGATGGTCTTTCATCATCCCCAACATACTCTATCTCCAGCCCCATTCTGGGACCCTTTAAGTGTGGGATGGTCTTCTGGAACCCTTGTGAGACAGAAATGAGGCCATGCAGTACGGAAGCAGCTTGAGAGACCTACACGTACACAACATAAGGGGAAGGCTCCATGATGTCAGGGTCACCGAGGAACTGAATTCCTCAGCACCACAAAAGGCCACCAGGCAGACAAGAGGGACGGAGGGAGGTCACAATCCTTGGATCTAAAGTGGAGACCGCAAATCCACAAAACAAAGAGATTTCTGTGAAGTCTGTGACATTTCTAAGGGAATAGACAAGGGCCAGGCAGATGCTAGGCATCAGAAGCTACATAGGAAGGAAAGACAATAGAGAGAGTGTGATTGCCAAAGGGGACATCACCCCAGGATGCCCGAGGTCCAAAGATCTAAACAGTGTCTCCTTTCCTGCAACATTTGCAGGGCCACACAGCCTCCTTCTAGCCTTACTCTCTCCCTTCCCACCTTTTGCACCCCTTTGGATGCTGGGCCCCTCTTCTTTAGTCACCAATCTGCTCGTGCTGCTTCTCTGCTCCAAAATTCTCAGTAGCTCCGTGTGGTCTTCAGAGCACAATGCACACTCCTGTCCTGACACTCAGGGACTTCCACCACTAGGACTGCCCTGTCCAGCCAACCACTGCAGCTCCTGGTGCCCCTCTCCACAATCCCTCAGTTCCCACCAAAGTGGACAGTTCTCTGTGCCCAGAACACACTCTGAGTTCCCCAACTTTCTGCCTCTACTCTGGCTATTCTCTATGCCTGCGACACCTGCTAGCTCCCCCTTCTCTTACTGAATTTTTCCCCATTCTCTATAGCTCAGCTCAGATGTCCTCTCCTCCAGGAAGCCTACCTGTGTTTGCTGTGTATGTATTTTCTCTTGATGCCTTCTCTGACTCTGGGCAAGTCATTTCACCTTAGGGCTCCAGATAGCTGAGCGATGTGGAGAAGGGGCCGACCTGCAATGACACAAGGAATTCTTCATACCAGGTCACTCCCTATACAAGTGATATCACAGGGCCAGTCCTCTCCTTATCTCCATCACAAGGCTCTGCCCTGGGGTTTCTCTTCTTCCTTTAAGCTATTTCGTTTGGGGAGGTTCTCAGCTCCTATGGATTCCACGGTCATCTCTCCAGAGAGGATTGCTATGGATCCAGCCCTGGCCTCTCTCCAGACCTCTAGTCTCACATCTTCACCTGTCTATTTGACATCTTGACCTCTGTGTCCTATAGACATCTTAACATCCACATGTCCACAACTGAACTCACGATCTTCGCCCCCTTCCTAACTTTCCTATTGCTGTGGAGGGTCCCCCCCTCCTCCCAGGCCCCCAGGCTCATAGCCTAGGAGTCATTCTTGACTCTCTCAGGCACCCCTCCCCAATCAGGTGTCAAGTTCCATTGTTTCTACCTTCTTCTCTTTTCTCCACCCCCCTGGGCTGGCCCCCTCCTGGACTATCAGTAGTTGGTAGGCGTCTGTCTGCTCCAAGTCTCTCCCCTAGTCCTCTCTGGGCTACATTCTGCTGTCCAGGTGATCTTCCTCAAGTGTACATCCCGCGCTGGCTCCCTATTATCTGCCCTCCGGCTTTTAAAGTCTTCATAAGCTGCCCCCTTCCTGCCTTTCCAGTCTCCATACACTTTTCTTCCTCCCCATGCACTCTGCAGCCCAGCGTCCCTCGCCTCCTGGCTCTTCCTCTTCTCCCGACTCCAGGCATTTTGCCTGGCTGTCCCCACGCCTGGAATCCTTGCCCTCCTCACATAGGCAGTGGTAGATGCTGTTATTGAGACTGCCCTGGGGGCTCTCTCCGGTTTAGTTATATTTCCATACCATCTTCTCCAGGGCAGACGGTCACTTCTCCAAAGGGTCTCCTGGAATGAGGAATCAGGAATCCCCCGAGACATCAGCTTTCCCATCTCTTCTCCACTGGTCGAAAAATCAATTGTAGAGCCCTTCATGTGACTCAGTCAGAGGCAGCCTAGGAAGGGAAGGAAGGCTGAAGAACAGATTCCACAGGGCACATTGTCCTTGATCTGAAGGTCCCAGTTTGGATAAGAAAGCATTATTCTCCCCTTTAAAATAAGATATGAAAATCCAAAGCCAGCTTCCACCGACTCTTCTCTTTTCCAGCTTGGCAACACCCTGGCCGAGATTGGTGGTCCCTGTGGCACCATTGGCCTCGCCCAGACATCAATGGGTGGTCACCCTGAGGAAAATCCACGTGGGATTCTGGGTGGCTCTGTTCTTTTCAGCATTGCCAGCTAAGTGGAAAGGAAGGGGAGTGGGACCCAAGGAGCCTCCGGTTTGCATTGCACTGAGATCTACAGGAAACAGACAGGCGGTGGAGGAAGCTGGCTGTCAGATGAGCTGGGCAGCCTGGCCAGGTGGGTGGGCACAGGCTCGGTGGAGCCTGCGGCATGAGCACCCTCCTGGAGAGAGGAGAGGGGAGGGGAGGTCTTGGGAGACTCCATGCCAGGGAGTGTCTAGTGGGGCACCTGAGGGCCTTTTTGTTAACCTCTGGCAACCTTTAGATGGCCAGAATCCACTGTAGAACCAGCCCAGCCTCCCTAGCCCCACCTCAGCCCCACCTTTGCTGTTGACAACAATAACCAGATCTTGGCTCAAACACTTAGTCTCTGGAGTTTGCAGCATTCTGGATCTGCTGCCCCACGGGGCCTGGGGGGAGGCAAGAAAGGGTCCACAGGCTGCCCAGGAAAGCTGTCCTTTCCCTCTTGTACTGGGAGCAATGGGCCAGCCCAGGCTCAGACCAGCCCAGAAGCTGACCAGCACTATGACCTCAGCCCCTTCCCGGGTCTAAGTGGCTTCATTTGTCCTGCGGAGGGGGGTGGGGTGGGGAGCATTGATGAAGTGCCTACTGTGTGCTAGGCACAGGTCCCGGGATACCATAGCCTCCTTTATCAGTCGTTAAAATCAAACAAGCATCCAGGAAGGATGGGAAGGAGGATGAACCTGTGAGTTGTGGGGCAGGAGCAGCTGGGAGAAGGGAGGCTGACGAAGGATTCAGCTCTGTTCCACAAGCATTGATTATTCCCCTGTTGTATACCAGGCTTGTGGGCAGGGCAGGGCAGGACAGGACAACCTTTGAGCTGCCAGCTGGTCAAGGCTCGGGCTGGGTCTCTAGGTGACCATGGCAGGGGGCAGAAGAAAGCTTATTACCAAAGGCAGAGGGGTCAGTGGTCACATTGCCCATAAGCCAGAGAGGAAGAAAAACATGGGGGTCTCTCCCCAAATGGCCAGTCTTTGGTAGCACTTGGGTGCCATCCAGGGGCTGGGCATTGTGGGGGGGGTCAGAAAGAGAAGCCTCGAGCAACCCCAAGTTTCTTCTCAGTTTTCATCCTCCTCCTCAGACGCCATCGACTACCCGCTCAGCCTAGATGATTCTGCCCTCTGGGCTTCCGTGCACACAGAACACCCTCTGAACTTGAGTTTGCATGATTCACATTTTCTCCATCACTTTTTAAAGTCTTGACAATCAACCAAACAGTCCCCCAACCCCTGATTTAAAGCAGAATCTGATTTCTGGGGTGTCAATGATCCTGCGGAAATGTGACACACTCACCTCTTGGGCTGCTGGAGCCGGCTCTTTTCTGCTTGGTTCTCCTCCTCCCTCGCTTCCCGCTCCTTCTCAGTCTCCTTTGCTGAGTCAGAGGTCAAAGGACCCTAGGGATCTGCCTACTGAACCTTCTCATTTTATGGAAGACTAAGGTCTGTGGAAGATTAATGACTTGGCCAAGGTCTACAGGCGGTAAGTACCAGAGGTGAGATTTGAACCCAGTCCTTTGACTCCAAAGCCACCATTTTTTCACTGTACTACCCATATCCTCCCACTAACTGTGGATGTACTGCAAAACTCTATCCTGATCCTCTTCTCTCTATACTCTCTCAGTGACCTTATCTGCTCCCATAAGTTTAATTTCGTAATTACCACGCAAGTGATTCTCAGATCTATCTAGTATCTCTATTTGGGGTTTTATCCACATAGGGAACTCCCACAGTGTGAAATCCCTTCACCAAGGCTGACCTACCACTTGTTTATAACCTGCCCTGTAGTCTTAGCATCCTCTGGAAGCTGGGAGGCAGACCAGAAGCTAGAAGACAGTGTCAGAGCTGAGAAGGATCTTAGAACCCAGAAATGAAAGTATCAGATCTCAGAAGAGCCTTGGAACCATGGGCGTTGGAGCAATGCAGAGGATTCCCAGGGCTACAAACCCACCCTCATCCTTCTCCTGAGTGAGTCAGCCCCACATCTCCTCCTGATTACTGGACGCCCCAAACCTGACATTCCTCAGGCATCTCACACACAACATGTCCAAAACAGAATTTATCTTTTCCCCAAACTCCCTCCTGATCCCAACTTTGTCATTATTCTCCAGGCCACCATCCCCCTTCCAGTCCCCAAACCTGGGAGTCACCCTTACCTTCTCACTCACACTCACTCGACATTTTCTGAAACATTGTTCAATCTCGTCATTTCTCTCTTCACAGATTCTATTTCTATACACACACACACATGTGTGTGTATGTGCATGTGTATATACATATATATCCTTCATATGTCGTATGTGTGTGTGTGTGTGTGCGTGTGTGTGTGTGTGTGTATTCCCTTCTTTCCACACACACTGCCTCCATCCCAGTCCAATCAATCAATCAACCTGCATGAAGTACCAGCAATCCCCATGCTCTGTGCTAAGCATCGTCCATTCCGGCTCCTGCCTCTAAGCCCTGGTAATGTCCTTCCGCCATGCTGGTGCCCCACCTTGCCTCTGCCTCTTCCTCTGCCCACCTTCAAGGCTCAGTCAGTCAATCAGTTAGTCAGCCAGTCAACAAGTGTAGATGGAAAGGAACCTCCACATGAATCTCACGCCTCTTGCAGAAGGTGATACTCAAAGGAAGCCAGGAATGCCCAAATCTCAGCTTGGTCTCCCCAGCTGCTACTGCCTTCTCTGCTCAGGAACCTCCCACCCACTCTGTGCATAGCTTCCATGTACGTCTTTAGAGAGATGCCTCTCTGCCCTGATCATTTTGTTGATTTTGTCTTTCTTAGGATCCTCATTGCCTGGCACATAGTAGGTACATTACTGTCCACCTTCTCGCAGCCTTGCAGAGAGAGCTCACAGGGCTGCTCCAACATATCAGCCATATAAACAGGGGGCCCCAGTAGGCAAGAAAGCCACTCTATCCACCTCAAGTCCATCGCTCCCTGGGCCAAACTTCTTGTCTGTCAATACCAAGCCCTGACTGTAGTCAGGCCTCTTGGGGAGCTACAAATATTTATTAGCACTTTTCTGGGCCATGAATGACCTCTCCCCCAGGGTCCTGACCAAACTGGAGAAAGGGAAGGCCAAACCATTGCAGTGAAGGACCCTGGAGGCCCACCGGCCCTTCAGGACCAGAGAAGCACAGAAGGGGTCCCAAAGAAAACCTTGTCTAAAAACTAGAGGCCAGTGCTCCACTCCCCTCAGACCTGGGGTCAGAGGGTCTGGCTGTGCTCTGCATTTCCTGTGCGGACACATTAGGAGCAGGGAGCTGTACCCTCTGTGGGCCTCCCCTAGGTGGCCTCTGAGTCCCTGCAGGCTTAGCCCCTTAGGTTGAAAGGGGTGTTCAGGAAGATGGTGGGATAGCTGCTGAGCCTTCTCAGGGCTGCTCACCCACATCTGATGTCCGCCTGCCACCCAGTTCTCACCTGGGGCTTCAAGGAGCTCTAGCATGTACAGCGGCCACACCCCGGTAAAACTGTCATGGCAGACAGGCTAAACCAGGTTGAGGGTAAGCCATGGGTCACAAACTCACTGGTGAGCTAGGGGATGTCTGTCCCAAGCACGGGAAGACTTCCCTTGGTGGAAGGGGTGGATGAGGACAATTCGTTTCAGTGGCCATGATGGTGGCTGAAACAGGTACTGTGGAGCCCGTAGAGGTCCGTCAGACACAGAAGAAGCCAAGGTCATCCTCTGCGTCCATAGCTACAGCCATCTCCCCCACTTCTGCCCTGCCCCTGGACTGTGATGACTCAGGAAAGAGAGAGTGAGGCTGACTTTGTGAAGCTCTGCTTCACCTCAGTCCAATTCACACACAAGGCAAGACTTTGGGACTAAGGCATGGATCCTCTTCAGACAGCAAGGACAAACAACAACAGGGGGGCAGGGTGGTTCATTCATTCATTAATTCACCCATTCATTCCACTTCCTGTCCCCTTCTCCTCCCCAGACAGGGCAGGGCAGGACAAGCCTCAGTCCTCTGAGAGATTTGCCTGCAGTGAGAGTTATTCAGAGTAAGAACCGGCTTCACCTCCAGGGTCTCCTCTTAGCTCTGGCTGACAAGCCCCATCTTGGGGCTGCCTTGTCAGGCCCCCTCCAACTCCCCACTGCCCTGGGCTGTTTCAGTGACCTTTAGTCTCTGCTGAGCTCCGGGGGCTGGAACAGGACTTGTGTGGGTGGGTTTTGGTGTGAGAAGCCCAGGCACCCCTGCTTCTCAAACACACCTATCTGTTTGTGGGAGGTTTGGAACATCTATAAATCTTGGATCCATAAACCCAGCCTTCAGAGGGCTGGCCCAAGGTGCACAGGCTGAGCCTACATGGAGGCCAAACTTTGGCCCAATGGCCTACCCCAGAGTCCAGAAAGAAGTTCTGGGCTGGAGTGAGAGAAGGCCCTGGCAAGAGGGGGCTGCATGGCTCCACAAGGAGGGTAGAACCAGTTTTGTGGATCCTGCACCCAGAGATCCACCCTCCCCACTAGACCCTCAGGCCATTGTTAGATACATGTGGCAAAAAGTCTGTGTGTGTGTGTGTGTGTGTGTACGTGTGTGTGTCTGTGTGTCTCTGTGTCTGTGTGTGTCCACATGTGTGTGTCTTTGTGTGTGTCTGTCTGTGTGTGTCTGTGTGTGTGTACATGTGTGTGTGTGTGTGTGTGTGTGTGTGTCTGTCTGTGTGTGTGTGTGTGCATTTGGGAAGGGGATGCCTCTCAGGACATCAGCTCAGGATGCCGTCTCTGGGACAGCCTTTCACATTTCCGCCAGGCCAGCCTATCAATGCCTCACCTTCTCAATCTGCCCATCCCTGTGTGACAAGTAGAAAGCACCCTAGAAAGCTTGGCACTCACAATGTATGGCAGAATAATAAGGGGCATTCCCCCA